TTATGTTTGAAGCGAGATCCCAAACAAACCAAGTTAACTCGCCCCTCCCTCCCGTTTCGTGCATCATGAAAAAAACGATCATGCACGCGCATTTCTTAAAGCGATAAAAACACACTATTTTTGGCGGCCTACCTCAATGGCTCATTCTGTGAACTATAAAATGTGGACTGGAATACTGTTTAGGGTGACAATATTTTGATTACCAAAAACCAGGACACTCGGCCCGGCAAACAGATGGGCCAACTCAAATGATACTCGAAGTTTACTCAAAGATACCTTATTAATTTCAATACATTTAAAGTAGGTTATGCCTCCTCTGTATGGATAGAAAATGGTTATATTGTTATATGAAAACAGGACAGTTGGTCACCCTAGTACTGTTGCCTAACGTTAGCTGCATTAGTAAATTAAAGGCAACCTTTTTAAGGTTAGTCCTTGCCTTTAAAAGCAGCATTATTCCGTGTTTAGACACTTATCTTATGTCAGATAAGTTCGCTGTGGTTAAAAACACAGATAATACAGACATGTTTAGAAAATATTCATTTTACTTGCTTATTTCTTTATCCACGACCTCGTCGAAATATCCAGAAATGATTATGAAGTGAAGTGGCTCACTTCGACGGCGCCACCGCTCAACGTTTGAAAGAAACTTTATCCTTGCGCCTGGGCGGGAATTCTTGTGGTTTGAATTTTTTTTTTTATCTTTGTATAGTTTTTTTTTATCTTTGTATAGTTGTATTTTAAATTTTCGATTATTTTCAGCAAAAATTTAATGTCATATGATATAATTATATGTGGAAAAAATTCATTGTTAAAGCCACACCATGCAGTCTCAGATTTTTTTGTAAAACAGTGACCTCTAGAGCCGCTGTGGTGTACTTGCACTGTTGTAAATAACCGTTATTCCCCTGTTACTGCATATCTACTGAACTACTGTCAAGTGTTAAGCCCTATTCGCACAGGATTAGTATTATCTGGTGACCTGTAGTAATTTGTAATAATTGCGGAGTTTGTCTGAGATCTTAATCCCGTGCAAATCGGCCATGTCTGTAATTTGTAAAGTAAAAATTCCCCCGCAAATTACCTACTATATTTCGCCGAACACGAGGTCCTGTGATAATATTAGTCCCGTGCGAATCGACATCTCTGTGATTTGGCGGGATCGTATATCATTTTTTCAAGGTTTTTGTTTCATCTGCTTCTTTTTATCCATCTTTCGTGAAGAATAGAGGCTGAGTTGGAGTGTTGGAGTGGGATATATTTTCCACACAATAAATTCTTTAATTTTCCTCAAAAAACGACAGTGCGCTTTATAATCCGTAGCGATTTATACACACCTCTGATCAGAGACATTTGGTCCATCTCTACAGATCACTCCGAATCAGAGTAAAAGTTAATGAGATACTTAAATGGGCATTAATGATGAACACCTGCTGTCAACAAGCAGAATCACTGAAAAAAAGAGAAACAAGTAAGGGTTAATGCCCGACGAGGTGTCCATTAAAACCTGACAATGGACACCTCGGAGGGCATTAACCCGCTTATACCATGGTCACTTGCCAAATAAAACATTTTTAAAACATTAGCTGCTAGTTTATGGGTGATTCTCCAACTATGGTACTTTTTCTGTCCTTGACAGATATTAAAAAAACTAAAACATTTCCACTTTTTTTTCACACTTACTACATAGTGTAGGGGAACCTATATATTTATAAAAAACCAATGTTCAATTCTGTTGTTTTATATAAAATAGGAGGCATTTTATATGCGTTTTTTACTATTTTGCCTCTGTCCCTAGGCCAGACTTTGGGTCTTCAACCTTACCTCACTTCAAATCCAATACTGATATAATTTTAAATTCAAACAGAAAGTATGCATTATAACCAAATTCATTCAAATCTGATAATTTTATACATATTTATTTTCAATTTGACATATTTTAAACTTATTGAACACTTGTCCCTTGGGTTCACTGTCATTTCCACACCTCTGCATTAAATGCGATCCCAGGCTCAGTGTTCTAGATTTGTATACTCAGTAACCATGTTAGCTGACACGCCAGAGGAACCCACATGGCTGAATGAAAGAATGGTCCCAGCAGAGGTTAATAAATTGGAGATATATTAAGGTAAATATGAGAAATACTGCGAGTATGTTAATTGTATGTCATTTCTGAACCGCTCATAATTCATTCCGACAGAAACATTTCAGGATTTTTACAATTTCATCAGGTGATATTTGAGATTATTTAATGCTAACTCTAAAACTAGCACCAACAGGCTAGTCAAACATGAGATTTTAGAGGAAAAGGGGGAAAAATATCATTTCCACAACCGTCATTTCCACATCTGTCTCCATGGAAGTGATAAAGACAGTTGGCTTGTCAAGGACATTGTATGTGCTTTAAAAGCAAAGTAGTTTGCCTATAGTGCTAAAAATAGAGTGTATAAACACAAACTTTACATATAATGTCATGAGAATGTTTTAAATTGAGATATTTTATTGTTGTACGAAACGTCACGTGATGTTGGATCCATTAGTGTGAGACCAAAATTGACTGCGAGTGAACCTTGGATAAAAAATGGGTGATTTTAAATTCAAACAGAAAGAATGAATTATAGCCCAAGTATAATATATATACTTTCTTGTATTTCTTTTCAATTTGGCATATTTTAAACATGTTGAACATTGGGTTCACCTGTTCATCTGTGAGTGAACCTTGGCCCATACACTGCTCTGGTTCAGGGAGTGGTGAAACATGTCATATTTTCACAGAAATTTTCTTTTGGGTTTTTTATGAAAACACAAGGATGATTGTGTTTATGATATTGTTTTTGTTTCAAATAATTTGTCACACATGGAATGAGTTATCTTTTTTATTAAGTGCTGTTAGGCCAGTTGTTCATCAATACACTATCCCTGTTTAAAATTAAAATAAGAATAAACTTCAAACTAGAATTTGAGATTCATTTTGTCCTACACATTGAGGTCATGACTCACTTTTGCATTTCCATAATGCATTTATGATTCTACTACAGGTTCTATATCTGAAATGTTATTTTCGCCATAACCCGCCTTTCCCTTGTCATTTCCACAACCACAGATATTTTTTTTTTGTAAAACATAAAAAAATAAAATAAATAAGGTAATGATGGTGGTGGTGTTGATTATTTAGCAGTTAAGGGTGAAGTATATGTATATGAGTTGAAAAATATCAGATTTGAAAATATAATAAAATTCAGAAATATGAATGAAAGGTTTCAGTGGCTTAGTGTTCAGCGTTTTTTTGGTGTTCACTTTGTAATATCTTAACCGTTGCATTTCAGAGAAATAAATGAATTTACAATTTGGAAACATGCAAGTGTGATGTGTAACCCAATATATTTATAACTACAAATATTTCAACATATTTTGTTGAAAACACATGTTTTTGTTCGGTTGTGGAAATGACAATTTATTTTGCGATGTCTGAAAAAAAACAACAAAAAACATATTATTTCATAAAAATCAGCACTGCCAACTTCAGGGCAGGTAATTAGGCATACTGGGGAAACAAATTATGCCAGTAATATTTTAATTAAAAATGTTTCATTTTCTGAAAAAGTCCAGGTCTAAAAAGTACCATAGTTGGAGAATCACCCTTATATTTTAATTAGGCTAAATCCCCAGACAGCAAACTGACATTGAATCAACGTGGAAACGACGTCTCTCATGACATTGAAACGTTGATTTTGCTCATCGAATTAACGTTGAACCAACGTCAGACGCGGCATTCTTCAAAGCTAAATGAAAATCGAAAATTGGTTTGCTTTCATAACGTCGAAACAACGCGTTGATTTCAAGTTGATTTTCCGTTAGTTTTGAAAAAATGACGCGCCTGACGTTGGTTCAACGTTAATTCGATGAGCAAAACGATGTCAGATCAACGTTGTTTCAATGTCATATTTCCACGTTGATTCAATGTCAGTTTGCTATCTGGGTCTAGTTTTTACAAATAATAACTTGCCTGGTTTATTTAGCAACCGGAGATATTTATAGTCCGCTCAGCTTGTAGAGCCCTTCAGGTTCAAAAATGCATTTTTTTTTCATGAAACACAAAGGTAGGCATAGTTTTTTTTTTATTACACATAAAACAATTAATCAAACAGGCTTCTTAGGCTTGAAACGCTGGACTCTCCTCCTGCCGGTTGTCTCAACTGCTGCGTAAAACTCCCGCAGGGTCTCATTCAGAGCGGCAACGGTGTAATTTTCTTTGCGACGTTTCTTTTTTATTTACATTTTTTCAGCAGCATCCCAGTCGTCAAAGTTGTCATATTCTCCATAAATGTTAAAAGAAATAACGAAGTGGCTCATTGTCGTATTAGTAGGCTATGTAATATCTAACTGAATATCTAACTGTTTGTTTTGATAGAGCAAATTGTTAACGGATACTTTGACTGCCTGTTGCTATGGTTACTCACAGCTGTTGTGGGCAGCGCATTTATTTATTCATTTCGAATGGTAAACAGGCACTCTATCACTTTTTAACGGACACCCTGCAGCCAATCAGAATCGAGTATTCACCCAGACCATGGTATAAAGAACTACAACCTTTCCTTCATATCAGTGATTCTGCTCGTTAACAGCAGGTGTTCATCATTAATGCCCAATCATCACCGCTCTGTAGACAGGGACCAAATGTTCTCTGAGCAGAGTTAATGTAACTCTGAGGATTTGGTTGGTGATCAACGGTAGGGAGAGGAAGAGGCATAATAAGCACACTGCAGCGCAGCCTTTCAAATTCACCAGGGCAGAGACAAGCGCCTCTCACTGATCTCCTCGTCCGCTTCAGCTGGTTTCAGTCACGTGACACTGGCTCTGAATGAAAATGTGTTGTGGAAACACATTGATTACTTTTTGTCCCTCTTTGCTAGACTAGTTTTTCAAGATGGCAGAAGGACATGGAAACCTCCTTGGACCATGTGAATAAAGATAAAAAACTCTTCACTTACAAGGATACGTCAGATCATTGCCAGACGTAATTTTACACCAATGAGGTGATATATTTCTGAATAAAGACATTGATTTCAGCTAATAAAATACACAGTGTACCTTTAAACAGACTGACTCTGCAGCCATAAACTTTGGATATTATAAATCATACACACATCACTGGAGTAAATTTTCATTACACCAAATCTTAAAGCACTTCTCAGCCTCTTCTAATTTCTTCTCCTTCATCTTATCTTCAGCTTTCTGATCATCAGTTCTTCTGTAATAAACTCTGACAAGCTCTTCATTAAACTTCTTTGGCAGGAAACTGGACAACTGTCAATACAAGACAAATATCACACACAAGGAGTTTTATATAAAATACTAAGTTTACATTGTACTTAATTTACTCTAACAAGTTCAAGCTCCTGATAGGTTTACGAAAAGAACATTATAAAGGAATAAATGGCACCCATTGGGAAAGATTGTGCAATGATCTGGAATAAAACAGTTTGAGTGTCATGAATACCTGAAAATCTTTAACGGTTGAAGCTTTGGTGGGATTCCTCTTGCTGTAGAAATAGACAAATTCAATGGGGTTTTTGTCCTTCATGCCGTGATCCAGATCAACCACCTGAGTTTGTGAGAACATGAGGTGATTCACTAAACAATTCTGTTTTATTTCAGTGTAAAAAGCAGCATCCTATTCACTAAACACACATTATCTGGTTTAAATATGTAAATCAGCACTGAAATAAGATATAACTTGCATAAACTGGTAATTCTTCAGCGTTCAGAGAAACAGTCGGGTCAGTGGGTCTGTACTTCTGCACTGCGGCTTTCCATGATTGCTTCAGGATTTCCTGAATTCAAAGGCTTCATCAGTTTTATAGGGTTAATCAATCAGTAAATCAATGTGTTTTTCAGTTTCTGTCCAACCTTTGAGATCTTTTCCTTAGTCAGACGAAATTCTCCCACAAACTTTGGCAGTTTTCTCCTGGAGATCTTGTCCAGGATGTTCCTGGATTCCTGCAGGTTTTCAGCAGTGGAGGACGAGATCTGCTCAAAGATCTCATCTGACACGACAACAGCAGATTTATTATTATACGTCTTATTTCACATGTGCTGAGGTGTTTCATAAGAGAGAATATGTTTCTCCTGGTTTATGGTTTATATCTTTAGCTCTTTCAGCTTTGAGTTTCCATGTTTTTCTCCTGTACTTTGAGCTGACCTGTGAGTTTGCTGTATTCCTCTACTGACTTTATGGCTTCAGAAATCTTCAGCATATCTTCAGGTTTCCCAGCATGAAGATCACGATCAGCTAATACGAGCGCTTCAGCAAACCTAACAAACCGAAAGTTAGTGTTTCAAACATGTATAAGAATCACAGTCTAATGCTGAATTTGTGTTAGACAAATAAGTTATGCAATATTGTGAAATCTCATATTCGACTCACATCTCTTCAATGATGTTGCTGATCTTGTGCTGGTAGGCCTGGCGATGGAGAGTGTATCGAGTGCGAAACATGTCATAAACATTATCTGCCTCCTGTTAGACACACACTGTCAGAGATAGGATAGGGGTACAGTACGAATTTTGTCCCTCAAGCTACAACCTACACTAATGTACCCTATAGGGCTTATTATTGGACCTCAAGGTACATGTATGTTCCCAAGCATTAAAAGGTAAATATATGTACCATTTCTTTTAAAGATTAAGGTACAAAGCAAGAACTCCAGTGTTCACAGTGTCCACTGTTTGACTGCAGATTTAAGGACTTCGGCTATGTTTACGCCAGTGTGTGATTCGCTAAGCTGTCTAGTTTTTAAAACGTAACTCTGCATTTCCCATTTACTCGTCAAAACATGTCGCTCTGGAAGTCCACCCATCAGTGGTAATAGCAATGCAAGGTTCAACAGGACACGTTCTTGTGTTTCGCAGTAAAGAGCAGGGAAGACAGTTTGACTAAAATGAGCCCCTGACGGCATTTGATACATCGGCTCAAGCTTGGTCACTAACCTTTTAAATCCTTTACCATCTACAGCAGAAAAGAGACGTAAATCACATGCTATGTATTCCGCGATGTACCTCGTGATTTCTTGAGCCCTTGCGCTGTTGTGTGGCGTAGTTGTTGAAAATGCCTCCTTCGGGGTTTTTTGACCGGACAGGACATTCTTTGTCAGATGACTTCGCATATGGCTTGTGTTTCCCTTGTTGTATCGCAGTTTACTGTGGCAGTGCTTGCACATAGTCCATTGTCTGTCCACCACCTGCTCTCCTTTTGCGTTTTTTGACACGGCAAAACTAAAATGTTTACAGACATCTGACTTAAAAGCTGCAGGGCCTAGCACAATCTCAACTTCGGGGTATTCCTCCTTAAGTATCGCTGTCGGCCATGCTGGCTTGCTGTGAGCTTGTGTGGACAGCGTGCCGCGTCCAATCCTATTGGCTTAACAACGGTTGGTATGACGACGCAGTGCAAAGGATCATGATCTATGTAGTTAACGATGATTTGTTCCGCGGGACTATGTTTAATCCTCTTGCTTTTTGACGGACACCTGTCCTTTTATTATTGTAACCCAACCACGACGATATCGAGACACGCTTACCACCGCGATAGCGCGATAACGTCAATATCGTTACATCCTTTTGATACACTTGATGTCCATAATTTATAAATATTACGTCATTTTTGTAAAAAGTAAAAAGTTTGGCAGGAATAGTAGGCTATACTTCTTTCAAGTAACATCACGTGGGTTTTATTTTGACATTATGAATACAATTGCTGCCCTCAAATGTTAATCTGAACTAAAATAAACCTTTCTTTATAACTACTACAATATAACATTTCATTTTGTCCAGGGAGCTGTTTTATATGCTCCTAAGAAAAGTCAAGTATAGTTCCATCATTGCTCAAAGTAAAATAATAAATAAATTGTATATATATATATATATATATATATATATATATATATATATATATATAATTAAAAATTAAGTCAAGTCAATCAATCTCTTCTCTGGCATTTCTTTCTTTTTGCTGTAGGCCTATCGAAAACGTACCGAACCGAACTGTGACACAAGTGTATCATATCGAACCAAACCGTGAATTTTGTGAACCGTTACACACCTATTAACCAGTATGACTTTATTTCGGTCATACATCTACAAAAGTTATTGAGATTCAACAGAAGTTTAGACGGTAATGTTTTGTATAATTTTCCGTTTCAAGACACCATTATGGTGGTCAGTGTTTGCTTTAGTTTAGCTCTTAACCCTTTTCATTATTTAATGTTAGTTTTTCTCTGACTGTTCCAACTTTGTGAGCAGATCATGTTTCCTCTTCCAGTAACAAATGTGCTTTATAAACACTATGTTTTGATAATAACATAATCATTATGTAGTGACCTGTGTCACTGATGTCATTCAGAGTTCAAATATCTGACAATATGCTTGACTCATTTTAGCATTGGTGATTTTAGCCCTGAAATTCAACTGTTTGAGATCCAACAACAATATGAACAATATTGACATTTCTTTGCGCACAGAAGCAATTGCGTTTAGACATACAGGCATCAAGAATCTCAACAATGGTGACAATAAACAAACTAGTGACAAACAGATCAACTCTGAACATCACAAAACTAAAGCTACTAAAATCCAAACAAAACAATAGTTAAATAAAAACAAATAGAAACAAACAATGAAAATTACAGGACAATCTAGCTGCATAATTTATTCCTGTTGCAATGCATGATGGGAGCCATGGATGTGTTTTTATTGGTGGCTCCCCTCATGCACTGAAACATGAAGTGTCTGTGTGATTGTCACCATTGTTGAGATTCATATGTAGATTCTTGATCTGTGTTTATGTGTGATTTTGAAACCTTCAGATTATTAAATCACTGCAGGAATTAGCTACGGTAATGAAAATTTAATAATGCATTTTTGTATAATCAGGTTATAACACTGGGTGAAATCAGTGAATCAGAACATTGCATGATTATAGTTTCATCATCAACAAATGCATTTCCAATAATCATTTTAAGCCTAACTTGTTCATAGAACAATTGCAATCAATGGTCTGTGTAATCAAAATAGGCTTAAGGTGGTTTCATGAAAAGCAGCCCAGGTCATAGCTTCTCTTGCCACAACAAGAGTTGGAACAGCTGGAGCAAAATAATATTACAAATTCAAGGGTACAAAAGCCCAACTAAAGCAAATACTGATCACTATAATGTGACATGAAACAAAACATTCCATAACAGATCACCATCTAAACTTCTGTTAAATCTCAATTAGACTGTGTGTAGATCTAAATGGGGAATAAGGTCAAACTTACATGTAATAATAATATGTGCAATATTGTGTAAGGTCTTGAGGTTAGTAGTTTTCTTTCCTTCAATGATTCTGCTTGTTAACATCAGGTATCTACATAATTTAACACTGGGGATGTACCCTCAAGGGTACAGTTTTTGTACCCTTGGCATAGGGTACACAGCAAAATCCCCAGTGACAAGCCATTGTACCCCTAAAGGTGGAATTATGTGCTTTATTTTCTGAGAGTGTGCAAACACCAGAGTCTTAGATCCAGTTCCCATGAGGCACTGTTCACATTCAACAATTAATGCCACTTTTTATCTGAAGTTTTAAATTAGGGATGTCCCGATACCACTTTTTCACTTCCGATACCGATACCGATGCCGCACCTTTGGCTTTTGCCGATACCGATATTAGTCCGATATTTTTTTTTTAGTGGTCCGACGTGCCGTATACGGCCCACAGGGTGGTTTATAGGTTTAACTTTGTGAAAGACAAAACAAAACAAACACAAAAGTAAACATAATACATATCTTTGGAAAGCTGAGAAACTCGTGATTCGAACGACGTAACCCATTTTAAGATACAATCAACACAGCGGGCACAATCTGTCTCTTTGTCAGACCACCAACAGCCAAAACAAACCAACACAAACTGGAAGAAACTCACCAATTAGCCATCTGTTAGTCCACATTCCAACAAAAATGGTTTGGTTTCACTGTAAAGCGTCCATACAATCCAATTTGAAGAAGTTTTTAGTCCAAAACAATTGTATGAATAAACATCCATGGAATGTAAATAGTAGCATTTCGCGTTAGCCGACAGCGCTATCACAACTTCGACGCACTAATGCTACGTTCACACCGGACGCGAATAGGGCGTCAGGCGCGAATGATTTCAACGTTAAGTCAATGCAAAGACGCTTTACCGCGCGTGAAAAATTCCTGCGGCGCGAATGAGGCGTGGAGCGCGGCGCGGAAGACGCGAATACGCCTCATTCGCGCGTCAAGTTGGCGCGAATTGAGCGTTGTGCATTCACGCGTTTGACGCGAATTCGCGTCTGCCGCCCGAGTTGAAAAATCTGAACTTTGGCGTGAATTCGCGCCGCGTTAACCAATCAGGAGCCTAGCTGCTTGCTCACGTGGTGAAGTGTCTGGATGCTTCAATAAATTATTTTGTTAGTATGACTAAATGCATGGTGGGATTATGCACAACAAAGCAAATGTTTCATCACTTAAAACATTATCTCTATATGGAGACATGTTCATTTTGTATTGAATGTTATTCATTCCATATCTAGAAATAGTATTATGTTGTAAAGACAATCAACATATGTGCATAAATTCGTGTCTGGACGTGAGAGAGAGAAAAAAATCACAGGACAGGTTAATAACTTTTGAAGGCTGGCTCTATTTATTATCAAAACAAAAATAAATGACAGCTAGATTAGATGGATGAGGGCGAGGGTGATCCTCGCTCAGATGCGGGACAACAGGTCATCAAACTGGGCGCGTGACAGGCGGAAGTACCGCTGACAGCGGCCGTCATCCAGCGCAGCTCCTGGAGCGAGCAAATGCTGAAACTCGCCAAACGGTTCGGCTCCGAAGGGTCCGGTGGACACAAATATACGGTGACGATGATCCCCACGCCGCTGTTCTGCTCTCCAGAGTAAATACAGAGCGGTAACTCTCTTGATGAATGCTCGGTCGACATAAAAACAATGACCGCCAACGGATTTTGATTCTGACGCGCGTAAATTTCGCTTCAAACTTTACGCGCGCCAGTTTCGCTCTTGACACGCGAATTAACACTAGTGGTCAAGCGTCAAACTAGACGCGTCAGGCGCGAATTTGACGCGCGATTCGCGTCCAGTGTGATGTGAACGTAGCATAACACTATTGATCCGTCACTTCAGTTGAAACGTAAACATTGGAGAAAAAAGAATGTCAAAATGGCCGCTGACCCATGAACTATTGATTGACAGGTCATTTTAGCCAATCGGCGAGTGTTAGGGGTGTCTTCTAAACTCCAACAGCCAACGAGCGTGCCTGGTGAAGATCGGTACCTACCTCTCTTTGAGTGACAGTTTATCTATCCAGTTGCAATAGAGAATGAAATGACGCTATTTTCTGATAGCCAATGAATTTCTGAAAAGACTGAAATGCAGCTTTTGTGGGTGGAATCATCCGATTACATTAGAATCCGTGCGCAAAGCGAGAGTGATTCTCTGCGCGCGTGTGCGTAAACACAACAATCATCACGTGACAGGCTGCGCCGCTAAACTGGATATCGCTCATATTTTTTTCTCCCCTCCGATCTCCGATCTAGCGTTCTGGGCCGGTATCGGCGCGATACCGATGCCGTGGATCGGATCGGGACATCCCTATTTTAAATATAAAACATGAGTCTTGAATACACTCTGTGAATGCCATACAAGTATCTTTAGTGTGTGATAACTGAATCATGCACCTTGTCTCTGAAACAGATGTGCTTTCTCCCGTTCACTTCACACACTCGAGCGAACTTCAGCAGACGCTGATGGTCAAAGCTGTTTCGAATGCCGAGGTGATGACAGTCTCTGAGAAATAAACATTACATATAAATATAAAAAGGATATGTAAACGAGATGATCATTTGGCTCAAAGTTTTAATAGATTCTTAGTCACAGTACCATCTGTGCAAAATGCCTAATAATTTACCGTGCGAAATAGTCCCATTTGTCCACATCAATGCCGTTCTGTTTGTTTGCCACAATCTCATACAGGAAGGATTTGTCTTCACCTCTGCCCTCGTATGACCACTGAAAATATTTAAATTATGCTTTATTCATGAAAACACATCAATAACATATGAAGTATCCGTATGAACCTCAGCATCTGAAACTTTTGCCCCTTCGATTAACTCTTTAATAAAGGTGACGTCTTTATCATCCAGCCCGTGCTCTTTCAACACATTCTCATTCTCAGTCTTCAGACTCTTCACAATGTCATCAAACATCTGCACTGACATCAGCTCATGCTGGAGTAAAGACACAAACACAGATGACACCATAAATACATATTACAGAAGCCAACGGCACTGAGTGTGTGTGAGCAATGTGTCCGTTCTGACCTTCCACCTCTCAGGGATGTCATCAGGCAAGCCTAAGAAAAATGCAGGTGTCATGTGGATTGTTAGTCATGTTATGCACATTAACACACTCTTTCAGGTTCATTTCCCAGACATACATATACAACGGCATGAGTTCTGCATGTCCAAATGTAACAATAACATGAGTAAGAAATTTGCATGTCCACAGACACGTACCTCTTATTTTTTTCATATTTTTGGCTTCAGGAATAACCAGCCCATCAAACAAATGGGAAAGTGGACCATGACCTAAAAAATATGGAGAAACTGGATGATTCTAGTTATGGTTATCATAAATCAATGCTCAATTTGACAATGGTTTTGGTGAGTTTAGACTTGATAACAAATACAAAAAACACTGAACATATTTTCAGTTTCCATGCGCATTAGTGTGTCACTGTGTCTGGTTGGTGTTCCCTGAGTTTGCACCAGAGGTATCTTACCCTTACCATCACCACCACTTCAGGCAAATGCACCTTTTGTTTCCCCGTGAAAGGAAGGATACATAAATGGACACTTCGCGGACTATCCTACCCGATCCTACCCCATAAATTATTGCGCGGGTGACGACAGCATTTTTATTTAAAAAAAGGGTGGCCGAGAGTTCGGTGGTGGATGGAAAATTCACATTTAAATGTAAAAGTATTATGTTTTTATTTACTCAAATAGCCAGAGAAACCAGTGTTAACAGCCAAAAGCTTTTTTTTTTTCGTTTTTTTCTCTTATTCATCTTAACTCATTCGTCAGCAATGCATTGCATGGTTTTGTCAAGTGGAAATGCGAAAATGGCTTTATAGCCTTGGATTGTATTTCTTGTACATTGTATTTCTTTATTATTCATAATTTCATTATTTTATGCAACTTTAAATGTGTACACAAAACGACTTTTTATCGACTTTTGGGCGCAGGGTTTTACTGCGTGATAAATACAATCAGCACGGCAAAACGGTTCATGCTCGTCATCTCCAAATCATGACCAGAGACAGATAAATATTAAGTCTGTTGTTTAAAACAAATAAAGAACCAATAGGAGAATAGTTATGGGTAAACAGTGGCATATTCATGCAGTGTGCACATGTCAAAAAATCAATTCCGATTTGAATCTTGTGACATATAAACGCGCACATCAACTCAATTACTTTATTTATCATTCATGTAAACACCTTGATCGGATTGATCAATCGTATTGATTTCATTCTGATTGTGTCCATGTAAACGTAGCTGCTGTTTGTATCTGCCTATTTATATCCTGTCTGTTTCATTCACTGTCATGGAATCTAATGATAGGCAGATCGAGGCTTCGTGAAGCAATGAAACAGTACAAGCAAATGTGCCATATTGTGTTGAGGCTTCGAATCAATCCGACACCAGTCTCCACAGCAACACCTAGTGGTCACTTGCAGGTGTTGATCTGAAACAACCTTTACAACGAGCCATTAAAATGTTTTTGTTGTTTTTTATTATTGTATTTTTCTAATGTATGAAGCTTGTAACCTGTAGGCTCTTCACATTGCTTAATGTTCTTTTGGTCATGAAAAAATTATATTAATAAAATAAATCAAGCTACAATGTCTCACTTTCTAATAGATTTTTATTCAAAAATTTAGGGTTAGGGTATCCAGAGACCTAAGGGTATTTTTACAATTAATTTTCCATCTGGTATTATTTACTAAAAAAGCTTGTAAAACATTAACCCTTTGGTGCACAGACAAATGGCACACCTCTTTTTTCAGGACAAATTGAACTTTCAGCATATTTGTGTTGCATTGATGTCACCTGAATGTAAAATTAAGTTATGGGACCACAAAGACAAATGAAAAAATAAATCGGAAATTGAATAACTCAAATATTTGTTGAAATCACACACAAATAAATAAAAGCTAATCAAATTTCCTATGGAAAATAGTTTGTTCATGTCTTTGGAGTCCTGGAGCACAGGAATAAACATTATAACTTGTACAGAACCAAAACTATTGACATTTTTCCAAAAGAAGTCCAGGCGTTTGGGGCCTCATGAAATTCACTGGTGCCAAGCCTCAAAACAGATCCTATCAGCAATCACACAGAGGGCCACATCACAGGCTTTGCATTTCTATTTTATTATTCTTTTATTTATTATATTCTTTTTATACTTTTATACTACTTTTATTCTACTATAATACTTTTTACAGTAAATAAATAAATGGCACTTCAGCTGGGTCTATCCTGGTAATCTACAGGGGTTGGACAATGAAACTGAAACACCTGGTTTTACTACACAATAATTTGTTAGAATGGTGAGGGCCTCATTTTGCATCCAAATACAGCACCAATTGACAGATAGAAGTCCTTCACAGTGACCAGAGGGATTATGAGCCGTTCCTCTTCCAGAACAGTGTCCAGGTCACTATATGATGCTGGTGGACTCGCTCCTCCAAAACACCTCAATAATATTCAGATCTGGTGACTGTCAGACCATGGGAGATGTTCAATCTTCATCAAACCCTTCTGTCACAAGTCTTGCTGTGTGTGTTGGTGCATGATCATGCGGTTTGAGCATCAGGTGCTCATGATCCTCCAGAAGGGTTTGGTAGTCCTCGGCAGTGTCGTGTCCATCAAATACAATCAGGATTGTCATGATATTGGAGCTCAAACCATCACTGATCCACCCGTGCTTCACTCTGAAGATTGGCCGCCAGGCATATAGATGTGAAACCTCCAACATTGGCCAGTGTTTCAGTTTCATTATCCAACCCCTGTAGTTCCTCATCTGTCAAAAAGCTGTTATCCTGAAAATCCATCATCCTGCATGCCATGGCATCAAAAAAGGCCATATTTATTTACATCCATTTTCTCTGTGAAACGCGCGTCTCTGTGCGTCTCGATCTCTCTCCACTATATCAGCGCTTGGTTCATGCGTAATGACGCACACCAATGTTTACGACGGATCAGCCTGTAATTGGTCAAAAACCATCATGTGAAAACATCACGTGATATCCAGAATGGCAGCTAGCATCGAGCTAGTGGCAAAAATGATAGAATTGAATTTATGACTTCAAGAGTATCAAAGTTTGATATACGCGATTGGACTTATTGCTGAAAACCTCTGAAAGGAAGCACAAGTTCCAGGCTGGATACTTACAATTGTCATTGCTATATATATATATCAGAGGTCGCACGCCTCTGGAGCAACTAGGGGTTAAGTGTTAAGTGTAAGTTGCTCAGGGACACATTGGTGTCTCACAGTGGATTCGAACCCGGATCACACCAAAGGCATGTGTATTATCCACTGCGCCACCACCACCTCGAATGTGAACACGAATAAAATAAGTTCAGAGTACTCATTACTATTGTTTTTTATAAACTTAGAAACTTTATAAAACTGAGGGAATCGGTTTCCTCAAATGAAATGAGTTATCTAAACTTGTTGTAAACCTCACTCCCACCCGGGTCACGGCACCATTGTAACCCCTCCACCCTGTCCCACTCGACCCACTCTGAGGTCTCCGGAATGAGAGTCAGGCGCTCAAACAAGGAAGATAGCTGGCCTCCGTTACACTGGCGTGTAGTGACATAGTACTACTCACCCAAGTCGTGACATAGTCCAGCGATCTGAACACACAGGAACTCCTGTTTGGTGATTTTGAGCTCTGGCTGATTGTCATGAAGAATCTTGACCAGACAACCAGCTAAATACGCCACACTAACACACACACACACACACACTCCTAAACACCACAGTTTATGCCAAGAAAACGGAATCTCGCAAACACATTTTAATTTGTTAACTTACAGTACGTGTTATGCAAAAACATCAACAGCAGAGGACCGTGAATGTGTAAATGTAGTCAAATTATTTTAAAATATTCATTTTAAATCTCTAAAATTATTAACTTAAAATACAATTACTTAACGACCAACATTTTTTTTATATTTAATTTTTTTTTTTTTTTACAATTTTTTTCTTACCCAAGTGAGTGTTCGAAGCGATTGTGAGAAGCTCCCGGATACACCAGATATGTTCCTCCGAGTTGTTTGATGTGACGGAGTCTCTGAAACTGAGGTGTATCTGTGAACTTCACCAGCAGGGGGTGCAGCGCAATGTGACCATGAATGGGGTCGTTGAAAATCTACAGGATTTCAAAACACATTAGTTCATCGCATTAACATTCGATGCATTTCGCGACTCAACATGTACAAAACCATGTTGTTGACAAGTGATTTTGTGACCTACAAAAATCATTTCACTGCTGAATTCACAGACCGTTTCATCAATGCATCCTGACTGGTGACACGTGAGTAATTGAATCATTTACTCAACCTATTTGTTCCAAGGAATGATTCACTTAAAAATTAAGTGTTGCTTGTTTGAGTTTGTTTTGTTTGAAAAATCAAAAAGCACAGCACACATTTCTGCAATTTCTTCATGAAAGGTGTTTTCTGTAATGGAAGAAACTTTTATACACAGACACCACGTGAGCCGTAACATTTCAATGTGATGGTAGACAATTGCAATTCAACAATTTAATGCATCTCAGCAGAACTGCTCATATGTTCCTTCAGGGAGGAAGTGAAATGTGAAAATACATCATAAGCAAAAAATTTTAATTGAGTAGTTAGTTTACCTTTATTTGTTCTTTTGAGAAGTCTAAGGAGTATTTCTTCAGGATGTCTTTCAATTCCTCCTCAATAATCTCCCATGCCTCTTGTTTCTTAGGCTCTGGAAAAGCATGACATTCTCAGTGTAAAATCACTCCGGTTACTAACGAACTGTAACCACGGTTCCCTGAGATAACGGGATTGAGGATTGCATCAGTGTTTTCTGACTCTTATGGGGAAAACTCCTGTTTTCTTCGAATACTGAAGCCTGATTGGTTGGCCTGAAACCCGTGCACCTGCACAGACAAATGGCTTTTCAGCCCACCAAAACGGACAGGGCCGACTGTCTATTTGAGTTGCACCAAAAGTTATTTTAGTCCTAATTTCTCGACTGAGGAGCGCAGGCGTCGACTCGTATAGTTAAGGGCCGACTGTCTATATTGAGTTGCTCTATTGAAACTGAGTGTATCTGTGATGTTCACCAGCAGGGTGAAACGGAAGGCCGGTGAAAATACACACATTGACATTAATGGAAATCTTTTGACTCTGCAGTTGGAGGGTCCGAACTGGGCAAAGTGAGTGTGATGTGTGTTTTCTAATTATGCATGCACTACTGCCAAAGAGCAGCACAGAGAAGTCCAAATTAAACATGATTTAATGACTCGTAAATGTAAGTACACATTGATGGCCTAAGACACGAAACGAGCGGTTTGTGTGAGAAAACCAACAGTATTTATATCGTTTTTACCTCTTGTTAACAGCCGTCGAACTGCTCTGAATGAGATGTCCAACTGAACCGAACTGAACCGTCTCCAACGTGACGCCGGAAGTGATCGCGTGCGTATGAACGTCACGCATTGTTTACACGGAGATTTCAGAAGTTTTACCTTTCACTAAACATATTTATCTAGAAATCGTCTTCCATCGCGATTTCCCTTGTATCTAAATATGTTTAGTGAAAGGTAAAACTTCCGAAATAAAATCGTTCTTATTTTATATTTATATAGGCTACTTATTAGCTACATGCTCCATTTACCTTATTTAAATATTTTCATTTAGCTTTTTTTAATACTTTTAAAATATACAGTTTTGTTTTATTTGAACACTGCACTGGGCTTATTCCTGGTGTGAATTAAAACACCTTTGTAGTGTGTAAGGCTATGATTAAACTATAACTACTGTAGTTTAAAAGTGTTTTTGTGTTTGTTTTGTTAAAGTAATTGACATACAGGGATTCCCATGTACCGTGTACCCCTGCCACCCTACCGAGACATCATGCCACCCCCATGTAAAATCTTCTAGATCCGTCACTGCCCATAAACGTCAGAAAACACTATGCAATGCAAATGTAACGTACAGAAAAGGAAACATATTTGAAATAATCACATTTGCATTTTCTAATGCAAGAAAACATAAAAAATTACATTAATAGGGCATGGGCAAGACTTTCCAGAAAAAAATGTAACTTCTATTTGTGTTCATCTTAGCACTAATATAAATGTTTCCAAGTTTTCTAATGTAATATTTTAGCGGTGGGACTATTTTTAGGAAGTAGTTCAAGCAGTTCAAGTTCTGGTTATGCCTTTCTGACGTCTTTCCTGTAAAGAGCTTCCAAATCTATTCCATTCACTGTATTTCTTGTCATCTCAAGTCAAGTTGCGGTCCAAAGAAACAAACTTTATTTGTATGTATTAACTAAACTCCTTATATTTGAACGATAATCTTGTGCTGAACTTTTTTTCCAGGTTTGTAAATCATGTAACAGATGAATAATACTCTAAACTCAAATATAGAAGCAGGAGATGGATGTGTCACATAAACTTCAGTAAATTATATACACATTATCATAAGACAGTGAGCTGTGTGCATGTCTTTTCTTACCTGCAATGTCTTCATATGACCTTTTTAGATCTTGAAGATTTTTCCTGATATCAGAAAGAGTTTTTTTGTTCTTTTCAGATCGTGGCATGTTCTCTATTGTCTTCTTTTTGATGGTTGTTAAAAGCTCAGATGAGGTGGCAATAAAGATCTGTAGATCTGTGTACAGACTTTATAGATCCAGCAGCTCAACCCACTGGAACACACGAGAAAGATATCATTAAACTATAAGGGTGTGTCTCAGACAAACATTGAACAAATGTTTGATAAAAGATTTAAAATGACTGTTATATTACTGGTTCTCACGATGCAGTAACACAGGGCTTATGATGTACATACATTAAGGGGACAAAATAATTGTTAGATTTTAAAGACATCAGTGAATTTCATAATTATTATAAAATCATCAATATCTGATCTCATCACTTTAGTTTTATTTACTGCAGTAATTACGTTTGACACACACTATCACAATGGCCAAAGAAGAGTACCCAGATAGCAAACTGACATTGAAACAACGTTGATCTGACATCGTTTTGCTCATCGAATTAACGTTGAACCAACGTCAGACGCGTCATTCTTTCAAAACTAACGGAAAATCAACTTGAAATCAACGCGTTGTTTCTACGTTATGAAAGCAAACCAATTTTCGATTTTCATTTATCTTTGAAGAATGCCGCGTCTGACGTTGGTTCAACGTTAATTCGATGAGCAAAATCAACGTTGTTTCAATGTCATGAGAGACGTCGTTTCCACGTTGATTCAATGTCAGTTTGCTGTCTGGGTAGAGGTATAATGAGAGTTAAGAGCCCAACAGATGGAAACACTAATCACTGATATGGTGACTTCAAATGAAACATTACTACACAAAACTCTCAGTAAAACCTTCTGTAGACGTCTGACGGAAGTAAAGTCGGTCTGGTTAGTAATAAGTGAAGCTGGTAATGCTGTTTGTGGAGTTGCTGAGATCTTCACAGATTTAACGTCTTCTTTTCTCTTTGGTGGATTTCATCTCAGTATTTTGTTCCAATCACCTGGATTTGATAATTATCAGTTTTTCAGATTTGATAATTATCAGTTTTTCAGATTTGATAATTATCAGTTTTTCAGATTTGATAATTATCAGTTTTTCAGCTGGATACAGAAATCAGATGACTGAGTTTATGGGTGGAATAAACATACGGCAGGACTTGGACTATACACCTCTGTAAAAGGGACACACATTACTGTCCTATTTGTCCACAGAGGTCTGAAACATAGTTATGTGTTGTCTCTTGCCATTATGTAAATTGTGTTTCTGTTTTTAGATCAGTTTTAAAAGACACTTTGGACTTATAAATGTCTCAGGTCAATCATATAAAACTTTTTATGGGTTAACAACATGTTGATCATAGATTGTGTGAAACGACAATTTAATCTCTTCTACTCGATTAGTTTGTCATTATCAACTCATTTACTGATAAAGCAAAACTGGTCCTGTCAGCCTGACATTCATATATTGTGGACATCCTTCCTTGAAATGAATGACTCTCCAAAGTCGTCAGCATCACTGCTCTGGGAAACATGGAAAGTAGTTTTACGAGGGAAAATACTATAATACTCAGTACATAAACAAAAAAAGGAAAGAGAAAAAGAAGTCCAACTGGAAGAAAGAATAAAAGAATTAGAAATTTTACGTGCAAATAATCAATCAGAAAGCACCTATAAAGAAATTAGAGAAAAAAATTTGCTTAATGAAATAATAAACAAAAGAAACCTATTTCTGATTCACAGGCTCCGTCAAGAAACTTTTCACCATAGCAATAAATCCGGAAAATATTTAGCCAGTCAAATTAAAAGAAATGAAGAAAGAACAGCTATAACCTCCATCAGAAACTCGGCAGGGAAGCTAACCAATTCACCAGTGGAGATAAACAAGATATTTCAAGATTACTATACTAAATTATACTCATCTGATCTGGACCCAAACCAAGAAGATATAACCCAATTCCTCGATAACATCATTCTACCAAAACTCAACATGGAACAAATAAACACACTAGAATTATCAATCACAGAAAAAGAACTTCACTCCGCACTGAAAAGCATGCAAAATAATAGAGCACCAGGTCCAGATGGCTTTTGGTCAACCTTGTACCCACTATTTAGCAGAACAATAACAGAAATAAAACACAACGCAAAGTTCCCTTTCCACATGAATACAGCACTTATATCACTCATTCCTAAACCTAACAAAGACCACACCTTCACATCCAACTATCGTCCTATCTCACTCATAAATGTCGACATAAAAATTATTAGCAAAGCTTTAGCCCATAGAACTGAACAAATTATACCGTATATAATTCATCCTGATCAGACTGGCTTCATAAAAGGTAGACATGCATCTAATAACACCCGCAGATTATACAATTTAATGCATTACTCATCAACACAACAGAAAGATACCCTCATTGCCACATTAGACGCCGAAAAAGCTTTTGACAGGGTCAACTGGAAATTTTTATTCACCACGTTACAAAAATTCGGCTTTGGAGAGTCATTTATTAACTGGATCAAGATTTTATACACATCACCATCGGCCACAGTCACAACGAATGGACTAACATCACAAAGCTTCGCACTGCATAGGGGGACGAGGCAGCGATGTCCACTCTCTCCATCCCTATTTACCATTTTTATTGAACCTTTAGCAGCAGCTATCCGTCAAAACCCAGCAATCACAGGTATTGAAACACCACAACAAATACATAAAATCTCACTTTATGCAGATGATATCCTACTATATATACAAGAACCCAATACCTATTTGTCAGGATCACATCACTTTTAATTAGGCATTAAGATTTCCTCCAGACTGTCAGAGTTGGTAACACTCAACTTCACACCACTGCTAAAAAAAATAGAAGACGATTTGCTCAGGCGGCTCAACCTCCCAATCTCCATAATCGGCAGGATAGTAGCAATAAAAATGACGATTCTACCAAAAATTAACTACCTATTCTCAATGATTCCAACCCACCCCACACTCACCTGGTTTAAATCACTAGAGTCCAGCAAACTGACATTGAATCAACGTGGAAATATGACATCGAAATAACGTTGATCTGACATTGTTTTGCTCATCGAATTAACGTTGAACCAACGTCAGACGCGTCATTCTTTCAAAACTAACGGAAAATCAACTTGAAATCAACGCGTTGTTTCAACGTTATGAAAGCAAACCAATTTTCGATTTTCATTTAGCTTTGAAGAATGCCGCGTCTGACGTTGGTTCAACGTTAATTCGATGAGCAAAATCAACGTTGTTTCAATGTCATGAGAAACGTCGTTTCCACGTTGATTCAATGTCAGTTTGCTGTCTGGGGAACAATCACTATGCAAAGAATTAAATATAGCTGACATACCGTTCCTCACCAAATCAAACAACACACATGTTTTAATGCAGTAACTATAGCCTCCACTCTGACAGCCTGGTGGAAATTTCACCAAATCACAAACTCTACATTAGCTCCATCTAACCTCACCCCACTATGGAACAACCGTGACTTTATAAGCAATAAAAAAACATTGAATTTTCACACATGGGCGGAAAGAGGCATCACCCACATTAAGCATATTTTCAAATCCAACACATTTAAACCATTTCCACAACTGGCTCAGGAGTATCCCAGACAGCAAACTGACATTGAATCAACGTGGAAACGACGTCTCTCATGACATTGAAACAACGTTGATTTTGCTCATCGAATTAACGTTGAACCAACGTCAGACGCGGCATTCTTCAAAGCTAAATGAAAATCGAAAATTGGTTTGCTTTCATAACGTTGAAACAACGCGTTGATTTCAAGTTGATTTTCCGTTAGTTTTGAAAGAATGACGCGTCTGACGTTGGTTCAACGTTAATTCGATGAGCAAAACAATGTCAGATCAACGTTGTTTCGATGTCATATTTCCACGTTGATTCAATGTCAGTTTGCTATCTGGGATGGCATCGGGAACAACGAATTCTTAAAATACCTACAAATCAAATCTTCTGTCCTGGCAAAAATAAACATCAGAGATACAAATTTAGAACTTCCACCGGCAATATCAGACATGGTCAACATTTCCTCTCCAAAAAAACTGCTCTCTAAAATATACAAAATTATCTCAAACCAACTTCAGTCCATATACTTACCAACAATAAAATGGGAAAACGATCTTTCAATAGCCCCTGATGCCAACTTCTGGACCCAAATCTGTAAAAATATCTAGCTCATGTCCAAAAATGCGAATCTTCAGTTAATACAATACAAAATACTTCACAGAACACATTACACGGGCAATAGATTAGCTAAAATGGGTTTCACATCAGAAGTTTGCACACATTGCAATCAAAATACTACAGATACATACATCCATGCAACCTGGCACTGCACTCCAATCAAACACTTTTGGGAAGAGGTCACACACTCACTATCCACTATAGTTGGCTGCCACATCCCACTGTCGCCTTCCCTTTGCTTGCTGGGGGACCTCAAAATAATCACTGATAAAACTATAAACTCTAAAATACTCCTCATAGCGCTAACCATCGCCAAGAAAACTATCCTCATGAACTGGAAAACCAGAAATAAATTACACATTAACATTTGGAAAAATCTTATTACAGACTTCATTGCAATGGAACTGGCATCTCCCCTTCATAATTACACATCTGAAACTGACCTCTGCCGTCCGACACTTTCTGACCTCTTACAGCTATGAATCCCTTCTCTGTTCTTAACTCAGACTCCGCCCATCTTCTTAATCAACCCACGAATATTCATTTTAGTTGTTTGAACATGTCTCTGTCATCATTGTTATTACTATCTTTACTGTTACTGTTATGATTGCTAGTTTCACTTTTATTTTTTGTTGTTGTTTCATTGTTGTAATTGCTGTTGTTGCTGTCTTTTGCTCTCACCGTTGTGATCACCACTCTTCACTAATGCAATAACTTCCCCCTTATCTCTTCATGGGTTTTTAATGCACCACAACAGAATAGGGAAAGAAAAAGAAAAAAGGAAGGAATAAGTATATATGGAAACACCTGGCGAGGCAGGCAAGACAGGCGAGAAGTGGTTTCAGCGGGACAGCATCTTTGTCCCAATTTGAGACACTCTCGCACTGTACACCCTATTTTAATGCACCTTAGACATTGCACATAACACA